GGGGGCAGGCAGGCAGGGACAGTCAGGGCTGGTGGTGCCCTCAGGGCCCTGGCACTTGCATTGGTTTTCAGTTAGTTGTCTTTGTAACAGTAGTCATTTTTTGCTTTCAGCTTGCCAGTTTATGCAATATTAAAGGGTTGATTTAATTTTTCCTTTGTTTTCTCACTGGAGAACATAAGTCATACACAGTGATAATTTTAAGCAAAAACAAAACCAGAAGCTAATTCTGTCTGAGAAAAAATATGTGAAGACTTGGGTAATTAAATTGGTAGTAGTTAGAGTCGTAGTTTAATTACAAGTGTAGCTGAAAACGTGTGTTCAGACCACTTGAAATCAGGGGATTTATTATGTTAGGAGACATTAAGCTGTCCTTCCTAAATTTTGCTTCTTTATTTTTCCCTTGGAGATATATATATACTTATATGAACAGATTAAAAATATCTTTATATCTTTCTGAAGAGGGTATCACAATGTAAATTGTAACTTTACAGTTGCAAATTTCTGTAACTTTGAATGTACCTTTCATTCATAAGTGCGGTATATGGAGTTAAATAATAAAGCAATATGAGAATCGAGCAACAACAAAATTATTCAAACAAGTAATCTAGGGTATGATGGAACATTTAGAAGCAAATAATATGCTTAAATTTAATTTAAGTAACAAATGCTTAAATAGAAGCAAAGAAATTACTTGTGATGAGTTTATAAAGCTGCTGGTGCTCTGAACTGGGTATCATCCCTTCATAACTTAGTTTCCTGCTTAGACTCAGGTTCATTCCTAAGACATCACATTATTTTTATGGGTCTTATTGCTTTGAGGTCAATGGAACTACGTCAGAGAAAGAAGTGGTATAAAAATACCAAAGATTTGCATCAATTTTATATTTCTTACATCTTGCTCTGCCTTCACAGTTAGCAAAAACCTGTAACAGTCATTGTAGCCGAGAATATATGAAACACACAGGTTAGAGCATAAGCTCAAAGAGGGAACTAATAAACAATTTAGCTGCCATTTTATCAGTCTGCAGATGTCCTCAATCCTGAATTTTGGCTTCTGATTAAAGGCTTTTGTCCATGATTTTGCATCATTTCCGTTTAACGCTCTTATGTGTAATTGTTATTGATTGATTTATTTAATATTGCTATGATTTGGTTTATGTCTGTGGAAATTTCATGGATGCCTGTACTTTTTCAAGTAATGAATGGGAAGAAGGAAACAGAAAGTTTTAGTAATTGCTAAGACCATTGATTATAAGGGTTTCTGTATTACAGAGGGTATAAAAACTAATCCTCAAAGCATTCTACACAAAATAGCAGAAATCTGTAAAGTGCAGATTATTAATTTCATGTGGCTGGTGCTAGTTGCACATCAGAGACTTAGAAAATACATTTTTATTTTAACCTTTAGTGTGCACAGTTTGCTAGTGAACCTATCGGGTGCTGTGCTTAACTTGTAATAATTTTCAAGTTGCCGTGTGTGTTTGCTTATACATGAATATGTTGAGGGATATATGGGTGGTTTTGTGGGTGAGATGACAAATAGTTCTTAATGCTTTTCAGCAGAATAGGTATTCTTTAATGTCTTTTCTTTTTATTTATGGAATGGTTATTTGTCTATAGCCTTTGTCTCTAGTCACAGTGCAGGAATTCAACATCATCCAAGACTTTTTCAAAACTCCCAGATATTTGGTAGAAATGGGTCACAGCGTTGGAGCATGTTTTGCACAGGTCCTCTTACAGAACAGAAGAAATTAAAGTAGAAATAGGAAATACCAGAAATTAATCCAGAAATATCCAAACAAAGAAGGGATGATGTTTTGATCTTAATTCTTTTTTTTGTTTTCCACGTTTCTTCTTTATTTCCATTTTTTCCTCACCTTATTGTTTGACAACAATTATTTCTGTTGTTTCATCAAATTACTGCTTCTGCAATATGAAGATATAAAAGGCCTTCTTACAGACAGCAGATTGTTAACGTGTTAATGTGTTAATATTGCATGCACTTGACATTTCTGAACTTGTTGCTGGTAAGCATCATGCCAACGGTTACATGGTTTTTAAGCTCTCCTTGTTCTCTGCTAGTAACTTCAGGATCTCTTGTATAATCAGCTTTAAAGATCTGTGGAAGTGTGGACTATGAAAAGATTGAAAACTAGATTGGGCAAGTCTCTGAAAAACAGACTATACAAACTATTGCACTGGGAAGAGGATGCAGCAGTGGACAACTAGTAACAATTAAAATAAACATATGTGTTTATATATGTGTCTATATATATCTTCATACTTCTACACATTTTTTTTACAAACAAAGATCCTTGGTTCCAAAGTGTTTATAGTCTGTAACATGGAAGAAAGAGAGGATGCATGTAAGCAGTTCACATAAGGGAGGTTATATAAATTATGCACAAGGGCAGAATGGGATGGATTTCTGGGAGAAACAGACATTCAGGAAATATGATTTCAAGGACAATGGAAAGAGAAGAATTTCTTTTTAGGCAAGAAAATGGAAGCTTTCCCATCTTAAGAGCTTTAGTGAATAATAAATTGGAAAAGATAAGAGGGAAGAATGAAATGATTGGTTGAAGAAGAAGCTGTAAAGACTGCAAAAAGCAGAGACAAGCAGTTTAGTTGGTGTTACAAAGCTAACGTCTGCCAAAGGTTAACACACAGTATTACATGAAATAATAATTATCCTCTACAGTTAGAAATTCCTAGAGCAGTGTACAATTAATGCAGAGATTTTTTTTTACAATGAGAGTGGTAAAACACTGACCCAGGTTGCCAGAGAGGTGGTAGATACCCCATCCCTGAAAACATTCAAGGTCAGGTTGGAGGGGGCTCTGAGCAACCTGATCTGGTTGAAGATGTCCCTGCTCATTGCAAGGAGTTTGGACTAGATGACTTTTAAAGGTCCCTTTCGACCCAAACTGTTCTATGATTCTGTATTTTCAGGGAAAATTACATGCAGAAAAAAAAAAAAATAATAATTACATAAGGGATTGAGGGTAAGAGAGGAACACTGTTTTATGCAGTGAGTTCTGATCTGAAACACAAGACAAGTCAACAGCTCTGGACTACAAATCAGGGATCAGGTCAAGAAGTTAGTTAGACAGTTAGAGGTGATACATTCAGGATCTGGATGAGCTGAAAGATCGAGATGTAAATCCCAGTGAAAATGGACAGACAGATGCTGCATAGCAGTGGTTTTGTAGTGGAAGTAGTAAGGACAACTTGAAGTGCTTTGAGAACAAGAAACAGAATAAAAAGTGAGAGCGTAAACAGGGGGGAAATAAGTAGAGAAAATTTAAGGTGATACAGGGGCTGTGTATCCTAGAAGTTGAACAGAATAAGAACCCATTAAGAAAAAAATAACTGAGAGTTAAAACACACACATTCAAATATGTGAACATCCTTGTGTGAGAGAGGAGGGAAGAGGTGGGTGGAAAGAAACCTGTAAGAATATCATAGGCTTTATAAAAAGGAAGGAAATATTAATATTCAATAAGAGACAAGCCATTAACAGATAATTCTTACCATACGGTTAGACCTTGGCCACCTTAAACCTTGGCTACCTTTAAAAGGGCTTGCTGATGAACTTGTATTGATAGCGCATTCTCCACCTGTACCTCCTCTGAATGGAGATAAAGCATTTACCAGCAAGAAGCTGGTTTGAATGTCATTTAAATCAGTTCCCTAGGTGGAAGTTATACCAGTAGAAGACTTGTACTACTATAATTGTGTCTATAGTAGGGTTTTTCCTTTTTTCAGTTATGTTGCTTGCAAGTATAAAGGCTTTTACCTTTGTATCCCTGAGACAGCTATGCCAACAGAAGTTTTGAGTGTAGGCCATGCCTCATTGGCTTTGAGTGAAGCCACAGTGCTGATGGAGATTTCCTGACAACTGTGTCTAAATTCATTTGCATACTTCTAATGGCAGTCATTAAGAGTGAGAGGTAGCTACTTGTAGTTGCATCAGCAGAAAAGCAGGTTGATAAAAATCGTAGTTCTTCCAATGTTCTGGGGAGAACTATGCTCTTAATTCCTTTTAAGGAATTTTCTTTGTTCACAAGCAGATGCTTCAATTTATGGTAAGAAGAATAAAGCCCAGATTGCTTTCACAGTCTGCACTTTTATCCCTTGCCAGAAATTAGTCTAGTATTGTACAGAACTGAGTAGCAGCCTTGGATTTCACCGCCAGGAAGGTAATCACAGTCTGAACAGGTCAGTAAAGTGTATGGCATCTAGCGAGACATATTCTTTCTTACTGGCTGGTACAGATGTGAAAGTCTGTAGCAACTGAACATTAATCTGATTGCAAAGTTCTGGCAAATCGCTCCCCTGTCTGCATAGGTGGTTTGTGTATTACACTTGTGGGTGACAACGACGTATTTGAGAAGTGGGTTATATTTGTGACAATCAACATTAAAGTCATCTGTCGTGCCTACGAAATCCTTCAGGGAGTCAGGGAAAACCTGTATTATGCTTAGAAAGGAGTCCAAACCTGGTGTGTGGATCAGAATTCAGCTTTGGGTAGCTCCAAGGTTTTGATGTGAGATCCTCTTTTAACAGGCTTTTTGGTTTACACTAAGGAGCTGGTGGTATCTGGCAGACAGTGCTGCCCTTTTCATCTTGCTTTTGTTTGTAGTCCTTTGGGGAAAGGGCTAAAATATTTGGAATATAACCTTTCTAAGTGTTCTTGGTAGCATGCTCAGAAATGTGGAAGGATTATTTGATAGATGGTTTTCAGCATTCTGGTGCCTGCAGAACCATGGCTAATCTTTCTAATCTTCTTTATCTATGGTAATCTGGATATTCTATCCTCTCTGCATCTATGTATCTTATGCTGAAACTGCACTGACAGGAAGCTCTAAAATGCCTATTTTTGTTTCTTTCCAACAGCTGGCTGTCCGGACTCCTTGATTAAAGAGCTTCATCACTTCAGGATTCTGGGAGAAGAACAGGTGAGTTAGCATCTCAAAGGCAGCCTCTTAATGTCATGAAAGATAGACGCTAATGAGACAGTTTCGTCTCTCTCCAGGGAGGCAGAGTGTATCTCATGACCCCCAATGACCTGAAATGTGGGGAAAAAAATCACACAGGAGATATATGCGAGATTTTTTTTTCATTCTATCCATCAGCCTTGACAGGTTATTAATTGGTACATCTGCTATCTGCCACAGATTTTCCGCTTTCGACTACAGCAGTAAACAGGCTCTCTAATACAGCAGATAGACAAACAATCTGACTAAGGGATTGATACTTACAGCTACACATGGTATTATCCATCTCTTTTTGTGGCCTTTTTTGTCTTTTAAAAGTGTTTCTCATTCATAATTATAGCTGTGCTTTTGTCGCAGATGGTGTGATGCACTTCACTCGTAAGAGAGAAGCTGCAATATACTTATTGATATAAAAAACTATTTGACAAAGTTTTATAGTAGATAGGACAGTTTTAATAAGATTTTATGGCATGGCACACTTGATTATTTACTGCGTAGAGGACAGGGTCAGACAGAACTGTCAGGGAGACCCTCCTGTTGAGCCAAGGTTTCAGAGAGGACCCCCTTGCTTTCTAAACTTCTTCTCGGGAGGATTCTAGGTGAGGCTGGATACAATCCTAGTCCCAGACTCGGTCAACGGTTTCTGTCTAAAGGATTATATGTGCACAATTAATCCTTTATATTACTTAGCTAAGAATTTCGAAGTTCAGCATGCTATAAACCGCTTACCGAGGATCTGTTGCGGCAAGGAATCTCTTAACCTCGAGGAGTAATCTTGAGAGGCACTCAAGGCGAGATTCGGGCATGCAGCCGCTGCCATGCAGGAGAGCTCAATAGGCTCTTGGGCTATTCACTCTTTATGGGGGTATGATTGACTTGTAGTAATATTTGCATATTGACCATAGTACCAGTATTGGGATGAGGTGGGCATGATGCTCAAGTTAGCCCTTGGCTATTGTGTTGTTAGCTGTCTCCCTGAAATGACCTTTGAGCCCCAGATGCCACCTTCACAACTAGATCAACCTATTAGGACCACCATGGGTGGTTATCGCTTGGGCAGGGTTACAGGAGATAAAGATCAGGTTGGTGGTTGGGGGGGAGCACACTGTCATAACTTTGTACTCAGAAAACTATTTCTGTAGAGGCATCTTAGGAACGCAAAGGTGAAGTATGCTTTATAGCACTCACAAGATGGTCACAGTTATTATCTTGTCAATAATGAAATTAATGTACAGAGGTATTGAGAAAATGGCCTTAAATTTTGAGAGACAAGTTGAATTTTCAAATGCTTGATGCTTCTGAAATTTAAGTTGTCTTTCTCTCTGAAGTATCTCTCCTAATGAACTGGCTATAAAACCTAACTGCCTGACATAGAATTGCAGATACTAGGGACTGAGGGCCTGAGAGTTCAACATTACTATGTTGAACATAAGAATCTCTTCTTCTTTTAATGAACCTGGCATCAAAGGTCTTGCACAAGGTTATATGCGGGCTGTGGCAGAGGCAGGAGCAGCTCCTGAAATGTTAATTCAAAGTCTGGTTTCTTAGTTTTTAGCTCAGATTATATTGTCAAGGACACCCTGTCTCTTCTCCTTTCCATGTCACTCTCCCTTTTGTTTTTATTACAGTTAGGGCTGCTGGTACATTTTCTAGACTTCCAGTTTTCCTCTACCAGCCCCCCACTTCAGTTGTTATTGAAAGTCAACTGGGCGGTTCCTCAGGGACTCAGCTTTTCCTCAGCAAGGAAATCCCCATCATGAAGGGGAGTGTGGGAGGATTTGTCTGACAGGCATGGGAAAAAAAGAAGACAGAAAACAGACTAGGCCAAATGAGATACTGGAAGCAGGAATCTGGTGAGATTGAGGATTTAGGAAGAGGAAATAAAACAAATTGATGGGGCCACAAGACTGGTTAGAGCCAGGTGACAAATGGAGGGCTGAGTGCGATGAAGCTTGGGGACACTAGAGAGATGGGGCTGGCTGGTGAAAGAGGGTAGGAGTAGAAACCAGAATGGTAGGGATAAGGGTCTGACAAGGAGCTGGGACCAAGGGCAGGAAGGGAATGACCAAATATGGAAACTGGTAAATAAAGTGAGATCTGTACTTAATGAGCTGCACGAGGAGGTGAAGCTACACAGAGTAAGAGTGGGACAAAAGGAGAGGTTTGAAGGAAAAGTAGGAAATAGCTAAACAAAGACACTGTGAATATGAGGGAGAGGGCTGAACCAAACAGACCTCAATAGCTCCACTGGCAGAGCTCTGAAGATTGAGTTGTAGACCTCAGCCTTTCACCACTGACAGAGCAATATAATTTTTTTTCTGTTTGGTTTTTAGAAAAGGAAGTGGTCGACATAAAAATGAAGGCTAAAAGAGTTAAGAGTACAAATGAAAGATTCAGATATTAGGAAATGTCAGATTTAAGATTGCTTATGTAATCTTAAGACTTTCTTTGTACCATTTGACTACCCTTACAACTTTGCACTAAAAGATTACTAAATTATATGTTCATATACAGCCTTCAGAAATGGGATGATATAAACCATGAAGAACCACAAAAGAAAAGATAATTAGTTTCTGTCCAATAATAAAAGAACCCTTGAAAAGGGTAAAGGAGTTTGATGAGGAAAGCCTCACTAATCACATAAAACCAGTATTTTTGCCACTTGGAATATTTTTGGTATTCTTTCGGACTTCCATAATGAAATTACTCCTCTTTGTATTGAATACACTTAAACGGATGAGGAATTTTTGTCGTCATGCATTAGGAGCATAAAACTATGCAGATGGAAAGTTGTTTTACAGAATGGGTCTGACCTGTAAACATTTGCCTTTCTCTGAAACTGGCTATACTAACAGGTTGTTTAGATACAGTGGTTATCATTGCGATCTTAACTAATGTCTTTCTTTGCAAGTACTGAACATTGTCATGAGGCTTGAATTATTCCATAAAACCATACAAGTATAAGGAATATTGCAATTATATTCTGTCCTTACAAAAGCGTGGTTATCATGAGTCTACTAATGGCCACAGTAGCTCTTGCTTGAAGTTAGCGCTTACTTTGACAGTTAGGGAGAAGTTGGTGCAAAACCAAGGTTAAAAAAAAGTTAAAATACATTTAAATGAAGAAAGGAATTTCAGGCAAAGTCCTTATTTACATGACTATCTAATTATTTCTTATATTTTTTTAGTTATATATTTGCTTTTTTAAAATATCTAAAGTGTATCTTTTTCTGTTATCATGCATCCTAGATAGAAAAAAAATCATAATTACTCATAACACTCTTTTATTCAGACTGCTTACAATTTCAGTATTATCAGCCAACATATATTTTCTTCCACTCCAAGCAACAGTCTAAGAATAATAGGGGCATGTTACTGCTTCATGTCCAATCTTGATTTATTTTCTAAATGCTTATGTATTTAAGGACAGATTATAAAAGCAGAATGGACTATTGTGATAATCTGTTCTGATCTCCTTTAGAATACACATTACATGACTTTCTTGGATTAATTCTTGTTTAAACTGGAGTATATTGCCTAGAAAAACATCCATTCTTTGTTTACAAATCATTTGCAGACATTAGATCCTATTATACCTCTCAGTGGTGAAAGACAAAAAAATCCCAGGCTCTTTTCTTTCCACCACTCTACCAGCACCACTGTGTAGCTCCCTACATTGCATATCTCCCACTCCTCAGTATCCACTGTACATTTCCCATTGTCTTTGTCCTGTCACAAGGCAATAGGTCATCGTCATCATAAAAAATTACTTCAATCTGTGAATGCAACTCAGAAAAAGCCACCATACCCCTGAAACAGCCCCCCCCCCAAAAAAAAAAAAAAATGCCTATATAGCAAAAGGGAGTCTGTCAGTCAGACTGTCAGCTAAGTATGTTTAAGGCACAATGAAGGAATCTTTCAGTTTGAAGTGGACATTCCCATTGGAACTTGTGGGTTCCAGTTAAACTAGTGGCTGCCCAATAAGGAATATCATTTCTGTCCTAGAGATTTCTATTTATTGATGTAAGAGGTGCCTTAGTGCTTTTGGATACGGATGGACACAGCTCAGCTTCAGCTCACAATCCATCACACTGCTTCCCAGACAGAAATCCCATTCTGCAGTTGTGGGTAATAGTTTGTTCCTGGAAAAATAACTTCACATGTGACTGTGCTGAAAAGTAAGTTGTTTGCTTGAAGCTAGTTTACCAGCAGTTCAGATACCCCTGTAACATGAACTTAACCATCCGTGTTACATGTTCATTACCTCCTCTTCTCAAATTGTTACAAGCTTTATCACAGATGTTCTGTGTTCTTGGTTTTCTTCCAAGTCATGGATAAAAATTTTAGGTGGCATAAGGCCAAGAACCAATACCTTCAGGACCTTTTTGGAAACACACCTGCTTAATAATGATTGCCCATTTAAGATTATATTTTAGACATGCCAGATAGCTAAATTTTCATCCATTTAATATATAGTATGTTAATTTTGTATCACTCTAGACACTTAATCAAAATGCCAGGTGGCAGCAAGACAAATGCCTTAGAGAAGTCTGCTTCATCAACTCTCTTACCTTTATCAACCAAATTTCAGTCAAATTAAAGTCAATCAACTGTTCCTAATACAAACCTCTGGTCTCTACCTTTTGTTCATTGACTACTTGTTTCCTGTAAATGCTGACCATATATAATTTTTGTTGATGTTATTAAAAGAGAAAGATTTTGAGCGGCTTGCAGGATCAAACCACTTGAAAACATGTGGCTGCCTGTCTATCTGTCTATCCAAATAAAATGTTTCTTTATCTAAACGTAAGCATTGAAGGAAAACTAATGCTGAGAAAAAAAAAAAGGCTTTGTGTTTAGCTTGAAGCATGATGAGTTGCTGATTAATATTTTCTAAAATTAATCCTATAATAATAAAACAGTTGACCAAATAGTCAAACTTCTTGGTAGTCTCCTGGACA